ACATAACCAGTTAATTAACATTTAGTCATTTTTAGTCTTCAGTAAGCACCAGACTTTCAGTTAACTTTAACTTGCTTCTTTTTTTACATTACTGAAAAGTTTTTTGATTTTTTTTTTTATTGTACTTTTGTGGGGTGTTTTTTTTTTGGGGGGGGGGGGCCATCCGGTCATGGGGCCTGAACTCTGGGCCTGGGCACTGTCCCTCGGCTCTTCGGCTCAAGACTAGCGCTCTACCACTTGAGCCACAGCGCCACTTCTGGCTTTTTTCTTTTTGCTTATGTAGTGCTGAGGAATTGAACCCAGGGCCTCATGCATGCAAGGCAAGTGCTCTACAACTGAGCCACCTTCCCAGCCCTGGGTTTATTTTCTTTTTTAAGACAAAAATCAAGATTGTTTCTGAGTATGAAGATGGTAAATTGCATTTGGAAAAATTATTGTCAACTGCAATAAAAAATTAGAGATTCTTTTTTTCAATGTTTGTTCTTCTGGGCAGTCAGCTCCTCAGGTCTGTTCTGGTCTTCCAGGTGGATGTGATCTGTCACCTAGACACTTCAGAGCATGCTTTCTGTACTCACTCTGGGCTGCATGTGTGAGCACTCTCATCTTCCCAGTATATGGCCAGGCTTGAATCCCTGTAACCTCACAGGACAAGAATGGTTCTGAATTAACTTAAACTGAATGAGATCAATATCCAGAATGGATGTTTTTCCCCTCAACTTTTTATTTTTTTATTGCTATTACTAAGGTTGTACAGAGGAGTTACAATTTTAAAAGTCAGGTAATGAGTACATTTCTTTTTGGACAATGTCATCCCTTCTTTTGCTCTCCCCCAGTTTCCCAATAATACCATCTTTTTCATCTTTTTCTTTTCTTTTCTTTTCTTTTTTTCTTTTTTTTTTTTTGGTCGTGGGTCTTGAATTCTGGGCCTAGGTGTTGTCCCTAAGCTCTTCAGCTCAAGGTGAGCATTCTACCACTTGAGCCACAGTGCTACTCCCAGTTTTCTGGTGGCTAATTGGAGTTAAGAGTCTCATAGACTTTCTGCCCAGGCTGGTTTTAAACTCTAGTCCTCAGATCTCAGCCTCCTGAATAGCTAGGATTACAGGTGTGAGCCACTGGAGCCTGGCAATAATATCGTCTTTAAATCAAAGACATTTAGCAGTTCATTCCTTAGCTTAATCAACACATTGCCATTTTTGTGTGTTAGTCACTGAGCTAGGCATCAAAGGACTTAAAATGAAGAAATAATTCTTGTCCTCAGGAAACTTGCAGCTAATGAAAGAAAAAGAAATCACAGATCTGTAACGCAGTCTAAAAATTTAATTATAGAAGTGCATTGTGGGTCTAAGGAAGATAGAGAACAGAATTGATCAGAGAAGGCATCAAGAAGAGCAGATATTGCTGGGTACAATGGCTTACACTTAGCTACTTGGAGGATCACCATTCAAGGCTAGGCAAAAAAGTCATGAAGCCAATAAAAACTAGGTATTGTGGTACATCCCTATCATTCTAGGTCTCCAGGAAATGTAAATAGGAGGTTCAAGGTCCTGGTTGGCCTGGGTATAAATGGTGACTATCTCAAAAATAATCAAAAAGTAAGAGTATGATTCAAATAGAGCAGCACCTGCCTAGCAAGCACAAGGCTCTGAGATCAAACCCCAATTCTGCTAAAAGGAGAAGGAGAAAAAGAGGAGAAGGAAGAGTCTTTCCCTTCACCCCCTTTTGGTCTGGAGCTTGAACTCAGGGCCTGGGCAATATCTCTGAGCTTTTTTGCTCAAGGCTGGTTCTCTACCACTTTGAACCAGTTAGCTCCACTTCTGGTTTGCTGGTGGTTAACAGGAGATAGGATTCTCATGGATTTTTCTTACCAGGGCTGGCTTTGAACCATGATTCTCAGATCTTAGCCCCCTGAGTAGCTAGGATAACAGATGTGAACCACCAGTGACTGGCTGGAGGAGGAGTCTTAATAGAAAAGTGGGAGAAGTCTTTATGCATGTCTGTGACTAAAAACATGAGGATACACATCTCTAGGAAATACAAGCAGTTTTGTATGTCTGGAACATGAGGCATATTAAAGTATCAGATGTGGGAAAAACAGGTGAAGAACTTTGCCTAACAGAGCTTTGCCTAACAGGCTACAGCAGGTCAGGGAAGGTTATTTTATTTTTTTTATTAGCATACATTCATATGACAAGGTTACAGAAGGGCTTTAATGAGTCATATTATTTTTCATTAGCATACATTAATATTTCAAGGGTATGAAAGGGTTTTAATCAATTACACAGTCCAGTATACTTTTTAGAAAAATCAATAAAAGGACAGATGGAAATAAGCTAAATTGGAGGCTGGGATGTGTGTGGTTAGGGGTTATCAGGACCAGCACAGCAAAAAAAGGATAGGCAGATGTTTAGAAAAGTAAATGATAGAGCCAGGAAGGAACTTAGTGTGGCTAGAGGTGGGACCTGGGATCAACTCTGAATGATTTGTAAATTTTAAATGAGTGAATTTTGAGGTATGTAAATTATACCTTAATAAATCTCTTTAAAAGGAAGAGATGAGACAAGTGAGAAATGTTGATAAAGGAGACTTTGCTTATATGAGCCAGGATGTTCAACCATCTGGTCCTAATTGTGCCTCACATTTTTGTAAAACAATGGCAACTCTGTCTTTTCTACAGGTTTCAAGAAACCTGTAGGTTTCAATGCATGTGAATCTGCCCTTAACTGGTTAATTCAGAATATCTGTCTCCAGTTCCTAAGCAGAAACCATATCCCCCGGCTCTCTGCCACCTGGTTTCTTAGTAAACGTATGGTTGTGAGGAAATGTAGTTATGAAGAATTGCCTGTGATTTCTGGTCCATTTATTTCTCTGGGCACTGTGATTCAGCAAATAATTACTAAGTGTCAGGTGTTGGCTGGTAGCATAGCAGTGAATAAAATAGATGTTGTGTCTGCTTTTATGGAGCTTGTAGTCTAGCCCTGAGAACAGATGCTATTTACAGTTATGACAACTATTGTGTTGAATTTCCAATTGCAATTAGAGAAAATGATATACAAACAGATTTAAAGTACAATGCTGGGGTGAATTTGGCTGTAGATGCTAACCTTACATATATCTAGCTGATACTGCTTTGAAATGAGTGAGTCTTTTGAATCTGCTCCCTTATGAGCCTGGGTTATTTTGGTGCTTCTTATAATTATGATTTTTGAGCTATGTATTAGTTTTATGTCATCACTTTGGATTGACTAGTTTAATAGCTTTATAAGAGTCATAGCTACTCAGTAGAAATTAGGCATGGTGGCACATGCCTATAATCCTAGGAAGATTACAGGGAGGCAGAGACAGAAGGAACAAAATTCAAGACCAGCTCAGGCAAAAAAAAAAAAAAAGTCAGTGAAACTATCTCATAAACAAGCCAGATATACAGATGTAGGGAAGTATCCCTATAATATTAGCTACAGAGGCAGAGGTAGGAGAGTCATGGTCTGAGGCTGGTTCCAGGGACACAAACATGAGATCCTATCTGAAAAACTAAGGCAAAAAGGACTCTGAGTGTGGCTCAAGTGGTAGAATACCTGCCTAGTAAATGTAAAGCTCTTGAGTTCAGACATAAGCGGGGAGAAAGAGAAGGAGGGAAAAGGGAGGAAGGGAGGGAGGGAGACTAACTTGAAGATACAGACTTATACAGAGAAAGTTTTCTCTAATCATTGTAGTGTTGGTTTGGACATTTGGTCTTTGAGTTGTTCTGAAATGTCTGGTCCCTCTTCAGGTCTCTACATGTGGCTTTCTCTCTTCCTGGAATGCCTATTCCATTCCTGGTAGTTTTGGCCCTCATTTACCCTTTAGCTACTAGTCCAAGTCAGAGAAGCCAACTTAGTTGGCCAACTCCATATTTAGTTTCTAGTTAAATAATTTATCCTTTGATAACTTCTTTTTCCTAGATTGATGGCAGGGAGATCCATGAGGGTAGAGACCAACGTTTTTATGTTTGCTGCCATATTTCGAAGCTGTACTATAGTATCTTATACATAGTAGATGCCCAATAAGTATTTCCTGAACATTTGAATGAATAGAAGAACGAATGCATTCATTGTGAGCACTGAGTTTTGAAACTGTTCGTTTCTCCTTTTTTGCTCTGGCTGTTTGGGAGCTCTACTCTCCTTGATTAAAACTTCAGTGTTTGTAAATGTCCTAATGGCATGTATTTTTGCACTAACATTTCCCCATTATATGCTACTTTTCCTTTCTTTGATTTTACATGCATTGTGAATTCTTATAGCCCACTCAGTCTTTTTGGAAGAAAAAAGTTACAAAAAATTGAATATGGAAGTAGAAAAAGGGAACAAAGAGGAAATGTCACTGCCTTTAACCCGATGCAGAAAGGACGTTTTATTTTGCTTTGTTTTATTTATTTATTTATTTTTTTGAGACTTGAACTCAGGGCCTGGGCACTGACTCTGAGATTTTGTGCTCAAGGCTAGTGCCCTACCACTTTGAGCTCCATGTCAGCTTTTTTTTTGGGGGGGGGGTCCGGTCATGGGGCCTGAACTCTGGGCCTGGGCGCTGTCCCTCAGCTCTTCAGCTCAAGGCTAGCGCTCTACCACTTGAGCCACAGTGTCACTTCTGGGCTTTTTCTGCTTATATGGTGCTGAGGAATTGAACCCAGAGCCTCATACATGTAAGGCAAGCGCTCTACCACTGAGCCACCTTTCCAGCCCCTTTGCTTTGTTTTAATTGAGAAAAGGCAAAGATTTTTTCCCCCTAATCTTTCAGAAACACCTCTAGAGAACAAAAGTTTACCACTCTCTTGAGATGTTTTTCTGATTGTCAGGAGGCAAGGGATGGTGGGTGGCAGGACCTGTTGGCTCACTGGATGGGTGGGCCTGGGCCTTCATTAAGTTCCATCTTACCTGACTCTTCCCTGGGCAGTTTGGGTAGAGCCAGCAAGAGCTTGTTGTATTACCGAAAGGAGAAAGAAATGAACTTGTCCTCTTGTGTTACAGATTCAGTGGTTCTTTCCTTTGACTCCGCTGGACAAACTCTAGGCTCAGGTACCAACTTTTTCCCCTCTATCATTTTTTCAGCTCCCAACATTGGCAATATGTGTAGTGAATCTGATGAGGTAAAAGTATGCGGGGAGGGCAAAGGACTATTTCAGAGTTGTGGGAAAGTCTCAAAAAGGTTTCCTAGGGCTTCACAGGGATACATGTTTCAGAGCATTTTCTCAGTTGCTTTGAAAGTGTGTACTGATTGGCTGGGCATAGTGGTATACATCTGTTACTGGGGAAGTGGAAGCAGGAAGATCAAGGGTTTAAAGTCATCCTGAGCAAAGTTAACAAGACTCTGTCTCAAAACACAACACAACACAACAACAACAACGTATGCTGTGATACATGGCAACAAAGCAGTCCAGATTCATATGAAAGGATGTCTGTTTTCTGTGCTCATGTCCCACCTCAGTCACCTCAGAAAGTGGAGCAGAGGGTATCAAGAGACTCCATAGCCTGGGCATAATAAGCATCAGGACTCTCCCACAGAGTGCTAGGCTCTTTTAGTTTCCTGAGAACATACACGTGTGTTTTTGTTTTGTTTTATATTGCAGTTTCGTTTTGTTTATTTGGCAATACTGGGTTTTGAATTCAGGGCCTTGTGCTTGCTAGACAGGCTCTCTTGCACTTGAGCCATACCTCCAGGCCACCATTCTGTGGAATGTTACACACATCCTCCATGTGCATAAGTACTGACCTTCCCCAGGAGAGAAGTACCACTCTTGACTGTACACTTGTAACAGATGAGGCAAGCAACATGTTCCCCTCTTTTTGCTGTGTTTACAATGTAGGGCACACAGACTGGTACATCACCCTTTGAACCCAGACTCACCAGGCCAGGGAAGATGGCTTTTCCAGTTTGGGGCAATCCTCTTGCCCCATACTTCAGTAAATGCTGGCAGTAAGCAAGGAGAGTGGCTGCTTTTACTCCTCAGGCTGCTTTCTCTGTTGGAGCTTAGAATGATTTCGTATGGGGAAAGGCATCATTATACATCAGGCCTGTGTGTTTAGTGGATATGAGTCTGTGCACTCATGCGTGAGCCGCGCGTGCGCGGGCACACACACACACACACACACACACACACACACACACACACACACACACACCACACCATGAGGTTCAGACAGTTGTGGTAGAGTAAACAAGAAGAAAGAAAAACTATATTCCAAGAATATGGTTATGGCCACTTTGCACCAACAATGTGTACCTTGTGCTGGGAACTTAATGCACCAGACAATTAACTCCTCATGATTCAAAGCTTTTACACCTTTGGTTATATTAAAGAAACTTATGCCCAAAGATGTGCAATAACCTATTAAGGCCATTCAGCTCCATGTGACTCTAGAACTCATACTCTCTCCTTATGCTGTTATCTCACACCTGGTGGAGGTTCTTGAGGTACCTCCACCAAAATGCTGCTGCAAAAAGGCACTTCCAGATAGAGTAGACAGACAGGAAGATGTCTTAAAAAAAAAAAACCCAATAGTTGTATCTATTTGATATAGGAAACTATTGATTAATTTTGCTATATTAAATTAGAACATACCAAAATGGCTCGTACATCTTTTATGCTCATATGTTCATTGATTTGTTGCCAGGAAAATAGAAATAGGGACAATCATTTTGCCTGTGAAATCTCTTTTTTTGTTTTTGTTTTTTTTGTTGGTTATGGGGCTTGAACTCTGGGCCTGGGCGCTGTCCCTCAGCCCTTCAGCTCAAGGCTTGCGCTCTACTACTTGAGCCACAGTGCCACTTCCAGTTTTTTCTGCTTATGTGGTGCTGAGCAATCAAACCCAGGGCCTCATGCATGCAAGGCAAGCGCTCTACCACTGAGCCACCTTCCCAGCCCCCAAACATTATTTGTAAGGAAACAGATTCTCAGATAGTTTGGGTTTTTCATATGAAACCATGGATTTGTGATGAAACTCCCTTATCACCTTTCCTTATGAAATCCCTACACTGACAGGTAGTGATACTACTGCCAGAAGTCCCCAGTACAAATTTAGAGCCTGTATCCATTCATCTCTAAAAAAATCTGAATAAATTTCCAAAGGGAAAAAGTACTACATTAAAATTGCCATGCCTTAATTTGAGGCTACCCTGGGCTATGTAGCAAGACTCTTGTCCCAAAAAAACAAGAGCTGGAAATGTAGCTCAGTAGCTAAGCACTGGCCTGGTATGTGCAAAGCCCTGGGTTCTAGTCCCAGCACTGCCACCCCCAAATGTTAACCACTTTTCTTAATCAAAAGACTGTATTGATAATGAAAAAAAGATACTTACAACATGATTGACAAAGGTTTTGTTGGGGTTTTTTGTTTGTTTGTTTTGGTCATGGGGCTTGAACTCGGCCTGAGCACTGCCCTTGAGCTATTTTCACTCAAGGCCAGCACTCTACCACAGCACCGCTTCTAGTTTTCTGGGGGTTAATTGGAGGTAAATTCTCATGGACTTTCCTGCCCAGGCTGGCTTTGAATCATGGGTCTTCAGATCTCTGCCTCCTATGTAGCTAAGATTACAAGCATGAGCCACCGGCACCCAGCCTAGACAAAGGTCTTTATTCCAGAACAAAGAACTACAAAAATCAATAGGAATAAAGAAATAGCTTAGAAACACAGAAATGAGGAAAAGACTTGAACAGGCATTTCATGAAAGAAGAAACCCATATGGCCAATAAACATATATTAAGGTGTTCAATTGTATTAGTATTTGTAGAAATGTAAACTAGAAACTCAGTGAACTATCACTACATATCTCTTGCGCAGCAAAACTTGTAAGGTTTTAACAGTCTAGTGTGAATAAAGATATGATCTAGTGGAAATTCTTCTGGCTAAAAGGAAAATTGGTACAGCTACTTTGGAAGAATTGATGATAGTATCTAGCTAATTTGAAAAAAATATATGATCTATGACCTCACAGTTTCTCCCTTAGGTATCTTTCCTACAGAATACACATACACACACACTCAAACATGCACACACAATACACACACATATATCTGTATCAGGATATGTGTGCAAGATGCATATTTCAGAATAAGTGTATTGTTCATATTGCCAAAAGCAATCCACATACCTAAAGTGAATGGTCAAACTCTTATATTCAAGTAGAATACTAAAATTAGCCAACACACATAGATGCAGAAACTTTTATGAATTTTAAAGACGTTAGGTTAAAGAAATCAGATAAAACAATATATTTTGGTTTTCTACTTCTGTAAAATTCAAAAACAAGTAAAATTAAAACATTTGTTTAGGGGCTGGGAAGGTGGTTCAGTGGTAGAGCGCTTGCATGCATGAGGCCCTGGGTTCGATTCCTCAGCACCACATAAGCAAAAAGAAAAAAGCTGGACGTGGTACTGTGGCTCAAGTGTTAGAGCGCTAGCCTTGAGCTGCAGAACTGAGGGACATTTCCCAGGCCCAGAGTTCAGGCCCCACGACCGGACCCAAAAAAACCACCACCACCAACAACAACAAAAACATTTGTTTAGAGCACAATTCAGTGTTAAAACAAAAGCAAGGAATTGAATTCCATAATCACTGGGATGGCAGTATTCAAGGGATGTGTTAAGAGATGGGCACATGGGAGCTTCTAGAATGTTGGTGTCTTCTTTCTAGTGATGTGAGTGTAATTACTAAGGCTTTTCTTCTAAACTGTACACTTGTGGGTTTGAGTTTGTTGTTGTTTTTTGGTAGTACTGGGGTTTGAACTCAGGGCCTTGTGCTTGCTAGTGTTCTACTACTTGAGTCATACCTCAGGTTCTGCTCTTTGCTGGTTATTTTGGAAATGGAGTCTTGGTGGACTTTTCTATCTGGATTACCCTTGAGCTGTCGTCCTCCTGTCTCAGCTTCCTAAACAGCTAGAATTACAGGCATGAGCTACTAATGCCTGGCTCATTTTAGGTTTTTGTGTACTTTTCTTTTTATTTATTTATTTTTCTTCTTTTTTTTTTTTTACTTATACACAGGGAATATCTTGAGTTGTCAGACATGGCATAAAATGTTCCTATGTACAAAAGGGTCAAGAAGCAGCACCCTAGGTAAGGGTTGCCTGGAAAAAAGGAGGGGAATATTTTTATGTGTCAGACAGGGTTCTCCATATTTTTACATGTACTAATTTAATCTTAAACTTTTGAGATAGACACTTATAATCCCCAATTTTCAGTTTAAGGAATTGACATAAATAAAGTTTTATATATATATGCATATATATAACTGCAAGTTATATAACTAAATATATATAGAGATAGATATATAAGTTATAATAAATAAAGTAACTTGTCCAACATCAAACAGCAAGCAAATGGCAGAATCAGTATTTGGATTTAGGTACTCTAGCCCATGTCTGTATTCTTATCTAAATAGTTCTCACTTGTTCTTTCCTTTTTTTCTTTTTTTTTTCCCTCATCAGTGGTGAGGCTTTAACTCTGGGCCGGGGCACTGTCCCTCAGCTCTTCAGCTCAAGGCAAGCACTCTACCACTTGAGCCACAGCGCCACTTCTGGTTTTCTGGTGGTTAATTAGAAATAAGAGTCTCACAGACTTTCCTATCTGGCCTGGTTTTGAACCGAGACCCTCAGATCTTAGCTTCCTGTGTAGCTAGGATTATAGACGTGAGCCACCAGCACCTGGCAATTCTTGCTTTTTCTATTCTCATTAATCTTTAGTTCTTGATCCTTAGCCTTTTTTTTTCTCTTAGAGGACAGGTACAGTGGTCATACCTATAATCCCAGCTACTTGGGAGGTAGAGATCAGAAGGATCACAGTTTGAGCCCAGCTCAGGTAATTAGTTAGTGAGACCCTCAACAAACAAGGTGAGGTTGTTAGTCCATACCTGTGATCCTTGCTATGCAGCAGGCAGTAGATAAGGGGAACACAGTCTGAGGATGGCAGTAGGCAAACATAAAATCTCACCTGTAAAATAAGTGAAACAAAAAGTTCTGGAGATAGTGCTCAACTCTTAGTGCCTGACTAGCTGTGTTCAAACCTCAGTGCACGCACACATAC